CAAAAACACATACTCTCGTCCATGCTGCAGCATCGGTCCAATGCTGCAGCTGTCCCACATTGACTCTAACATTGAGAACTGAGTGACCACTGATTACACAGTTCTTGGTCTGCTGAGAGGCTCCGCTAGCTTTCAGTCAGTCATCAAGGTTGATCCCCACATCATTATTGGGATCCTTCCAGTGCCTGGAATGGCTTTGTGAAGTCACCTAGCAGTTGGGTTTAGCCTGCTGTTGGCTGATTCTGAGTCACAGGCGAGCACAAGTAAGTGCATTCTTGTGACGCAGAAGAGAAGTATGGCCAAAAAAGCTTTGGCCATGCTTCTTTTTTAAAGTATATATTAACCCAGTCATTAAAGTTTGATACTCAATTCTTTAGCTAATTGTCATTCAGGTAGCTGTTTCTTCAGCCAAGTTTGTGTGTGTATATATATGCTTGTGTGTAAAATTTGTTCCATTTTTTCATTCTGCATAAACATTTTTGTAACTGCTTGAACCAGCCATTTAATATGTTCATCCTAATCTATTATTGCATTTAGGCTGGCCATATACAGGTGTATGTATACCTGATAGGATTTGTAACCACACTGTTATTACAATCACTACCACCAGCTTGAAAATTTTGCTCTCCAAAAAAAATGCATTCCTTTTAAATTTATCAACCTATACTTAAAAAAAAAAAAAAATTCTATATGTGGCCATACACTTAGCAGTCTATGCACAAAAGAAATTTACTATGCAGATTACTTCACGCAAGCATTCTTATAGACAAGTCCAGAAAGACTTATCCAATACTCCCACCCAGATTGACTGTGCACTTTATGATGACTGGCTCAACTTTGAAATTTTTTATACTTCTCCTAATGGTTTTGCTGAGATCTGTCCTATGGAAAAGAATTTTAAAAAGACATTATCTATTCTGGTAGTACATCCTGCTATTTACAGTTCCTATTGAGGATGTTCTCTCTTCTAGGGAATCTTCTGTTGGGTGTTTTGAAGAACTTTAAAAGCCTTTTTTTGCTCTTGCAGGCCCAGCCCTGCTACCGGTAATGTCTGCCATGTCTAGTTGCCATACTATCACAACCAGGCTGCACAGGAAAATAAACAGTTGTAGAATGCCACATTCATTATCAATTCTTGCTTTATTGTTTATTTTTCCAGGAGTTGATATTAGCCATTTTCCATTCACCCTATAACAGATTTACTGCTACAGGGTGGATGTTCTGTGCAAAATAACGTTTAGCACGTCCGCCATTGGGGGAGTGCGCCTCCCGCCGGAAATCCGCTTCTGCTGTGAATGAGCACCAGCATTGCCGAGGAGACAGAACACAGCTCTGCCTAAGTAAACAAGGGAGAGCTGTGTTCTGTCAGCTGTGATCTGCTAGATTTTATGCAGGGAATAAAATGTAGCAGATTGCCTAGTGAAAACTGCACACTGTACACACAAAAAACACTGGCTAGGCACACAACCCTTTGATCACCCTAGATGTTTAACCCCTTCCCAACCATTCTCAGTACTGTGTTAGTGTATATTTTTAGCACTGATCACTGTATTGGTGTCACTGGTTCCCACAAAGTGTCAGTGTCAAACTGCTCGCTGCAATATCGCAACCCACTATAAGTTGCTGACCGCCGCAATTACTGCTATAAAAATAATTCCAGTATATATACCGCTATTTCTAGATGCTTTTATAACTTTTGTGCAAACCAATCAATATACACTTATTGTGATTTTTTTTTTTTTTTACCAAAAATATGTAGCAGAATACATTTTCTCCTAAATTTATGAAGAAATTAGATTTTATAAAAACATTTTTATTATATATGTTTTATAGCAGAAAGTAAAAAATATAGTTTTTTTTTTAAATGTCGGTGTTTTTTTCGTTTATAGCGCAAACAACATAAAAAACCCAGAGGTGATCAAATACCACTAAAAAAAAGCTCTATTTGTGGGAACAAAATGACATGAATTTTATTTATGTACAGCGTTGCTTGACCACACAATTGTCCGTTAAAGTAATGCAGCTCCATATTGCAAAAAATGGCCTGGTCATGAAGTGGGGGGGGGGGGGTAAATCTTCCGGAGGTCAAGTGGTCAAGGCTTTCTGTTTTCATTGAGGCAAGTGGTTGTTGCTTTATACCACATTTAGTCCTCACTGCTTTTATATGTTCTTAGCACCTTATGCTTACAATCACTCTATATTTGCATGGTCCTGCTCCTTTTCTGTTGCCTCTGCTATGTCCTCCCACATTGCAGACTTCTACAGTATTTGAAGTCCACAAGCAGTGATCAGTCCAGTTCCCTTTCTGAAGTGATATTGTCACTAAAAGCTCAGCTATCCTGCTGCTGAGTGCTGCAATAGTAAGGATAAATCAGTAGCTGAAGAATCGTCACAAAACAACTATTTCAGGAATGTCGATTTCCATGACACAGTAATGATGCAGGGGTTGATGATAAGAATGTAATTACCAGAAATGTCAGTTTCTGAAGATTCTTTTTCTTTTCCTTGCCACTGCTGTGCATAGTTTTTCTCACTCTGAAGTTGCAAAGTTTGTTAGGTATTTTTCACTTTGATTATGTTTCTATAACACCCTACAGCAGCCCTTTACCCAGCATTGTGGAATTTTTAGCTCCCACCAGTAAACCAATCCTAGGGACTTTGCTCATTGCACAAATATCCAACACCATCCCCAGAGGTTCTGGTGATACAGGTATTCACATAATCTTCAGCTTAACCATAGCCTATCTACATCCTCCAATGGCTTTGAGTATTCTCCGCCATCCTTGCTTCTCAGTAGCCTTCACATTGTTTGCAAGGTCTTTTAAATGTAATACTAATTGGTACTATATCTAACATACAAATATATCTGCTTTCCCTAGAACCTCTGCTTTCCCTGATATTAACCACTTTCCATCCAGATTTACTGCTACAGGGCGGACGGTCTGTGCAAAATGACATATATAATTGTGATTTTGCATTTCTGCCACAGGGGGCAGGTGACTGTCACTGGAATGCCGCTTCTGCTGTGATTGAACACAGTAGAAGCCGATCAACATGTGTCTGCCAATGATGCAGGGGTTGGTGAGAAGAATGAGTGCAGCAGAGACCAGGAATCTGACATTCCCAGAAGTGTCAGTTTTTGAAGATTTTTTCTTTTCCTTGCTACTGCAGTGCTTAGTTTTTTCACTCTGAAGTTGCAAAGTTTGTTAGGTTTTTTTTTTGTTCACTTTGAATATGTTTCTATCACATCCTACAGCAGCCGTTTTCCCAGCATTGTGGAATTCTTAGCTGCCACCAGTAAGCCAATCCCATAGCCCATCTTCCAGTAGCTCTGAGTATCTTCCACCATCCTTGCTTCTCAGTACCCTTCACATTGTTTACAAGGTCTTTTAAATGTAATACTAATAGGTAAATATATCTAACATACAAAAGTATCTGCTTTCCCTAGAACGATTAAAAATCATCTGCAATGAAACATTTATATTTTTGCTATTCATTAGCACCCGATTGTTTTAATTTAATTAACTGTTCTCCTTGTCTTTGACATTTTATAGTTTCATAAGAAAAAACTTTAAATTAATTACAGAAAACCAAATCTCAGTTGTATGTCCCTATACTTACCTTCATATTATCCATGCTTCACATGTTGCTGTTTACAGAGGGATCATGAGGATAAAAGCCTTTAGATTTTTTTCCCTGCGGAAGTTGTTAATTATCTTTTGCATTGTTTTCCATCTTTTGTTTCTTGAATCTGTACCTGGAGTATGATTAAACTTGAAGTTTTCAAAACCAGGGACATGCAGTGTTGATAAAAGACATTTATAATGTTCTGTAAAGGCCTCTTATTTTGAATCATGAGAGTACTGCTGGAAGGGGCTTTCTTTGGAGTATTATTTGATACCCTTTCTTTATTCTGTATAATAGTACTTTTATTGGTTAAAAAGAAAAAAATAGTTTCAAATGATGCTTTTAGAACATAGTCAAAGTCAGTTAAAAGTTGTATAAGTGTCAGTAGTATGTCAGTAGGTATCTCCAGCTGCTTGCATTTCATTTTATGTTGCCTACTGAAAGCCCCAGGAACCCCAAAATCTGGGGATCTCTGGTATGCAATTCTAACCAGCACCTGTGGTCGAAAGCCTAGCCTTGTCATCTGCTGCACTTCAGTATTTGCCTAATGGATGGTCCTGGCCAATAGTGAGGTGTGGGGCAAAGCAGATCCAGATTAAAAACCACAGAAGCAGTCAAAAATGTACACACTAGGTGCCTTAGGATTTGGAACATAGTAGTAAAGGTAAACTGATGTGTAGTCATGTGGATACACCTGTTATGGTATACCAACTTCCTGACTTCAGATATGCAATACGAGCAAGTGAAAAAATAGAAAACCCAAGGTATTAAAGCACTATGGTCAACCACTGGTTTTGCAAATATACCTGAAGAAGAGGATATAGTGTTTTTTTACTGTCTCTATAACAGAGCAATCTGGGTCTCTGGAGTCCTTGAGTCCTATGGGTGTGTGGGGGATCGGGGGGGGGGGGGGTTGACTTACAATTATGTCAGAGCTTCCAGCAGAGAGAGCAGTGAGCAGCACAGTATTGATATCACCAAATGTCACTCCAAATCTCCATAGAGCACAGTCAGAGGCAGCAGTGCCTTAGGTCTCACACAAGTGGGCAAAAGGTAATTTTTTTTTTTGTGGTACTGCTTAGTCACAATTAACATTTCTAAATTATTCCTTCAACATAGAAAATGTATATTTCCACGTGTCGATGAGCATTACAACACATATTATAGCATGCTTTAAAACATTTGTTCATGTGAATCCATTGATTTCAATGGGCCCATCAACCTGCAGCGCCAGGCATTTATGCATAGGTGTGAACTCAGACTAAACATTATGTTCTGTACGTCAGTTTAGTATTCAGTCTCATTTGCATTATATGTTGATACACTAATGTTACTTTTTTGAGTAAAAATACAAATTTCACTTTTAAATACAGGTAATGAATTTGGGCACCCAGAATGGCTGGATTTCCCGAGAAAAGGAAATAATGAAAGTTACCATTATGCCAGGAGACAATTTCATTTAGCTGATGATAATCTTTTGCGCTATAGATTTCTATATGCTTTCGACCGAGATATGAATAAATTAGAAGAAAAGTTTGGTTGGTTGTCTGCTCCTCCGGTAAGAACTTTGAAAAATGTAATTTGTAAACTATAACTTGGTTGTCAATCTGCTTATACCACAGTTTGCTTGTCTTTCAGTTTATTGATTCAGTGTTGTATGAAAGGGCTGAAGCGCTAGATTTTCTCCCTCCCATTCTCTAAGATCTTTGTAATCTGACGGTATGAGGCATGGATCTTTGATGAATGTCAATGTAAATACTAGTTTAATTGAATTTGACAATAATAGACAAGTTCTTTAGAAAATGGACCTGTAGCTTTGAATAACCTCTGAAGGAGAGCAACTGAAATTTGCTTATGGATGCAAGAACAGAAGCCCAGAATAAAGTGATCAGACATTTGAAAACTGCTGCACACTGATTAAGCATGATTTACTTCAGCAATGTATTAGGTATTTTGTATATTATTGCAGGCATATACAGTTAGGTCTATATATATTTGGACACAGGTACAATTTTAGTTTTTTTTCAGGTATTGACCAAAACATAGTCAAGTTATAATTATATAATGGATATGGCCTGAAAGTGCACACTCTAAGGTTTAATTTGAGGATTTGTACATCCAAATTGGGAGGAAGGGTTTAGGAATTACAGCTCTTTAGAGTATCCATGCCTCTTTTTTCAAGGTACAAAAAGTAAATGGACAATTGATTCAAAAGCTGTTTCATGGCCAGGTGTGGGCTACTCCATTATTTCTTTATAAATTAAGCAGGTAAAAGGTCTGGAGTTGATTCTAAGTGTGGTATTTGCATTTGGAATCTACTGGTGTGAACCTACATCATGCATTCAAAGGATCTGTCCATACAAGTGAAACAGGCCATTGTAAGGCTTCAAAAATGAAACAAATCCAACAGAAAGATAGCAGCAACATTACCAGTAGCCAAATCAACAGTTTGGTACATTCTGAGGAAAGAAGAATGCACTGGTGAGCTCAGCAACAAAAAAAGGCATGGACGTCCGTGGAAGACAACAGTGGTGGATGATCGCTGTATCCTCTCTATGGTAAAGAAAAACCCATTCGTAACATCCAGAAAAGTGAAGGACACTCTTCAGGAGGTGGGCGTATCATTGTCTACAATCAAGAGAAGACTTCACGAGAGCAAATACAGAGGGTTCATCACAAGGTGCAAATTATTCATAAGCCTGAAGAATAGAAATGCCAGATTAGACTTTGCCAAAAAACATCTAAACAATCCAGACCAGTTCTGGAAAAGCATTCTTTGGACGGATAAAACTAAGATTAATCTGTGCCAGAATGATGGAAAGAAAAAAGTTTGGCTAAGGATTGGAACAGCTCATGATCCAAAGCACACAACGTCATCTGTAAAACCTGGTGGAGGCAGTGTGATGGCATAAGCATGCATGGCTTCCAGTAGCACTGGGTCATTGGTGTTTATTGATGATGTCACAGAAGCAGCTGATGAATTCTGCAGTGTTTAGAGATATACTGTCAGCCCAGATTCAGCCAAATGCAGCAAAGTTGATTGGACGGCGCTTCACAGTACAGATGGACAATGATCAAAAACACACTGCAGGAGCTTTTGAAGGAAGATATGTGGAAATATTCTGCAATGGCCAAGTCAATCACCTGATCTCAACCCAATTGAGCATGCATTTCACTTGCTGAAGGCAAAACTAAAGGCAGAAAGACCCACAAACAAAGAACAACTGAAGACAGCTGCAGTTACAGCCTGGCAAAGCATCAAAAGGAGAGGAAACTCTTTGGTAATGTCCATGGGTTCCAGACTTCAGGCAGTCATTGCCAGTAAAGGATTCTCAACAAAATATTACAAATGAACATTTTATTTATGATTTTATTAAATTGTCCAGTTACATTTGAGCCCCTGAAAATGGAGGGACTGTGTATGAAAATTGTTGCTGCAGCTCCTAAAATTTGTACTTGATATTTATGTTCAACCCCTTGAATTAAAGCTGAAAGTCTGCACTTTAAATTAATTTGGATTGTTTCGTTTTAATTTATTCTGGTGGCATACAGAGCCAAAAGTATGAAAATTGTGCCTGTGTCCAAATATATATGGACCTAACTGTACCTGTAGTTCTCCAAAGATTTGTGAAGGGACACCAAAGACATCTTCAGCATTTTGTTTGTATGTCCTTTAGAGTATCGGGGAATCCCAGAAACCCAAATCACCACATTATGGAGACTGCAAACACCTTCTTCTGTTATCCCAGGCCCACACACTCCCTCATTCTTCTATTTGCCCATCATTCTAATATGTGGCCTTACTAACCAGTAGTAAATTGCAAAAGGAAAGGACACATCAGAGCAAGCGATCATGGACCCTGGTCACTGTTTCTATAATAGATTGATCCGTTGGGCCTTAGGCACTCTACAAGAAATCCAAATAGACACGCATCTGGAGATGTCTACAATATGGTGTGTCACAACATGGTTAAAATATTTTGCAAGGCCCTTAGGATTGCTTTAAAGCATCTCTTATGTCACTGCTGAGCTCTGCACTGACTCAGGAAGGAACCATAGCATGTGATGTTGGATGCAGGCATTTAATACTTCTGGAAATGTCGAATATTGAAGTCCTTTTTTTTTTTTTAATTTTTACATGAATGGGTTGTGCTTTAGCGATGAAGTCTTTTGTTCAGGGAAACGTCTGAAGAGGAGACAAGTACAGTTTTTTAAATTGTACTTAAAGTAGTGTTTGAATCCAGGGGTGACATTTATGATGGCCCTAGCTTCCTAAACAGCTGCATACATTGCTGAATAAAGTGAACTTTTTGCACATCATTTATATGTTGCTCCGTTAACATTTCTGTTTTGGAGAGTCACATTTTTCATATCTTATATAACACTGTAAGGGCACTTTGGATACTGATACCTTGCAGACACCCTTGGCTGATTGATCTCAGAAAGAAGGACATTTTGTTGGGTTATGATCAGCCGAGATGAACTCTTCTGTTCTCCCAAAATAAAACTGCTTCTAAGATTTCTTCTGAGTGTATAAACTTAGATTGTCATCCACTAAGTAACAGAAGAATTTATTGCTTGTTGGGTTACATTGCCATTTACCAGAGATATGGACACTGAAAAAAAAAAAGCATTTGTCCTAGATAACCCTGCTCCTGATTATCGTGCTTCAGTTTTTTGCTAGTATCCTCAGGAGAAGGGATATGTCGTCTTCAGCTCTGCTGTTCTTTTGAAAGAATTTTTATTAACAGGTGCTGGCAGATTAATGCTGGATATGTTAAAGCCCAACTCAGTGATTTCCCAAAAAACTATCCTACAATTGCCCCTGCAGTGCAAGGGCTAAATGCTTGTTAACTTTAGGGGATGAGCAATAAGGTGTAATAACTTACTCCTTGCTACAGCAGGCATCCTCAATTTGTGTGACAGGTCACCCAAAGTCTCCTATGTGATCCTCCGGGCCATGATTGCACGATAAGGTCAATGCAAGTGCAATAGCCCAGAATCATATGGAAGGATGACAAGGTGACTGTCCACCGCAAGGGTGGAGGAGAACGCTGAAGCCTGTCGGAGTGAAGAATACAGTAAGTATTGCAACTTATTCCTCATCATCTACAATAAAGAGCATTTAACCCGTGCAGTGTGAGGAGGCCCCACTGCAAGGGTAACTCCTTTTCATGCTGACTATGAAAATCTTGGGATGTTCTTCAGTTAGTTAAACAATGCAGATTTCTAGTGTGTTATCTATGCCATAGTTCTGTCTGCAACAGTACTTTGGTCAGCAGTGACTACTCATCAGCATCCAGTTCATATAGTACTCGGCTATTCAGGTCAGGCCAGTGTGTCTGCGGACTCCTATGGAGTTATCGGTCCAGAGCTGTTGCAGTTTTTCTGTCCCTGTCTCTACAAACTTGGGTAGCGAATTTATTGTTTTTAGGATTTCAGCTAGCGTAAACTCTGTTTAGCTCTTGAAGTTGTGTCAGAGTTAAAGATGGCAGATTGAGTTTGCTAAGGAAATCTATTATGGCTGTATCAGAAGGTTGGGTGGTGGTAGGATCACCTTTAAAGTATAGAGAACTATAGCAGTTGGAGAAAGAATCGGCTATTTCCTGTGGATTGATTATCTTATTATTATCTGCCTGCTGATACAAAAACTGGATTTTTTTGCTTTGGATCTTTGTGTTGCAATTATATTTGCCAAGAGTTTACCTGCTCTATTTCCTGTAGCATAATGGTTAAGTTTCAGGGTTCTGACAATGCATTCATATGAGTCTAGTAGGAGCCTAAGTCTAAAGTCTAAGCAGAGTTGTGTAAGATCTGAAGATAGTTTGGGACTAGGGGATTTTTTGTTTAATACGTCTAGATTGTGTATGGGTTGCAACAGATCATTGAAATGTTGCTTTCTTTGGCGTTTGGCTCTGGCAGTCATTTGAATGCATACTTCCCTCATATATGTGCTTTATGGGCATTCCATAACATGAATGGATTTTATACAAATCTTATTTTATTGGAGAAATATTCCTGCAGATGTTTAGATAGATCAGTATGAGATTGTGGTGTGTGTAGCAATCTAGAATCACATCTCCATAAATACATCTGAGAAGTGCACTCCTTCTCCTCGATCACTAGAGTAATAGGAACATGGTTGAACCATGTTATGTTTTGTATCGAGGAGGATGAGACCTTCTGCACAGTATGTTTATCTACAAAAAACATCAATTCTTGAGTAAGTCAAATGTCGTGTGGAAAAGAAAGTGGTCTTTCTCACTCGCAAAAGAATCAAATAGTGATGGATAAACCGAGTCCACTGAGTTGAGGAGTCCTTTGAGTCCATAATGGAGTTGAAATCTTCACAGAAGACTAGTTGGCTGTCCTTAACTGCAGATATTTTCTTGTAGAGACATTTAAGGAAACGTATTGGATGGGAATGCAGAGCATAGATATTGACCAAGGTGTAGGGCTTGGAGTTGATGAGGCAAACGAAGATGATGTATCTACTACTTTGATCCATGTGAAAATTCCTTAGAGTAAAAGAGATCAAGTTTTTAATGGCTGTAAATACGCCTCTTTTCTTAGCTGGAGCATTGGCCATACAAATCATACGGAACTGTTTGTGGGAACATCTAGAAGGAGAGGATTCCAGAAAGTGTGTCTCCTGTACACAGAGGATATCACGTTGAAGTGAACAAGCTTCTCGCCATAAGGAGGACCGTTTAGCTGGGTGGTTTAGGCCATGTGCGTTTATGGAATTTTAAACACCATTGAAGATATGCAAAGGCCAAGATGTAGTAGATACAGAGTGTTTCAATAGTGGATGTGGTAGCTGAGAAGTTCACGGCTGCAGATCACAAAATTGTCGATGACTGCTATGCTGTTGGTTCTGTGCTGTGGAAGATAAACGTAGGACCAGGAATATAGAAAAAGTTTCCCAACTGGGGAAAATGAATAGAGAAGTAAATATAAAAAATAATGATCCAGGTGCACCTGAAAAGGCGCAGGAAAAAAACGAGGGGTCTTGAGCTATGATGGACATATGCAAACCACTGTGTTGATCTCAAGTAAGAGGTGAGGTCGATGTAGAAGTAAGAGGCCGATTGCCAGGTGTTTTGTTAGTTTTCTTTTTGTGAGAGACTGTTTGCCAGGCCACTGTTAGAGGAGCGGAAGAGGTTGTAGCCAAGTTGGGAGTGTGAGTGTCTGGTAGAATACTTTGTTGTCTGAGGAATTGTAATCCTTTTTCAACAGTAGAAAGTGTGGTTATTGTTCCATTGACTGTAACCATAAGATGGTTGGGATGTCACCACTTGAACAGTATGTGATGATTGTGTAAAGCTTTGTTTATCATAAGCATGTTTTTTCCTCATCTGCATGGTATAGCGAGAGAAGTCAGGAAAGACTTTTAGAGTTGCATATGATGGAGGTATCGATTCAGATCTTCTGAATAATGAGAGGGCATTCGGGTCGACTTAGCATGTTCCTTAATGTGGAAGAAGTGAAGTCTAAGAATTGCATCTCTCAGGATAGAATCAGGGAGGTGAGATGGACGTGGAATACGATGGCTTCTGTCCACAACTAATTCTGTAGAGGAAAGATAAGGGAAGATCGCCCGGAGCATCTGTTGAGCGTAAGTGGTTAGTTGGTCTGGGAGTACGGATTCAGGGATACCCCTTAATTTAAGATTGTTTCTTCTTGATCTGTCTATAAATCCACAACTTTAGCCTTAAGCCAAGCAATATCTTCTCTTTTTTCAGTATTTGAGTCTACTAATGCATTGTGGGAAGAAGTCATTTCACCCATTTTTGTTTCTATGTAGCTCATCCATTTCCCAAATCAACTACTCTAACTTTCCTTTGTGAGGAGGTTATGTCCGCTTATAAAGAGGACCTCAAGGATACAAACATTTCTTTCATGGTGGAGTCTGGAGTCCAGGATAGGTGTATTAGTGCTAGGGAAGGCAGCTATAGTATCTGTATGAGAGACAGATTCATCCATAGAGTCACTATGGTCACTCCCTTCTTGCTCTATTTGACAGGTCTAGGTCCAATGTCATCCACGGTTTAGACTTGACTGGACTCTTTGTAGAAGGAGTAGAAGACCCAGAAGTAGTAGGAGTGTGTGTTGAGGAAGTATATTCTGTCATCTGTGAGGTTGTTGCAACCGTTTCTGTGTCAGGAATCGGCTCGAGGCTGCCGCCATTTTGTTGTGGCCTCTGAGTAGCGCAGTCACCACCATTTTGTTGTGGGCCGCGGCCTGCAAGCAAGAAGAAAGCCGAGACATTCTGCGGTTGGAGGCGGTCTTTCCTCTTACTGAACATGGCAGCAGGTTGAGGAGCAGATCCAGAACAGCTGGCGGAGGTAGGCAGCAGGGTGATGGCTGCTAATCGGCCGCAATTAGAGTGAGATCCCGGAAGTGAAGCAGAGCTCTAATATGGAGTGGCCATCTTGGGTCACGGTCGCCACACCCCCCCGCTTTAACTAGTTTTTTATTTTCCTTTTTAATTTTATCTTCAGCTTCTTTAGTCAACTCCTTACTGACTTCTCCTGCCAGAAATAGAAAAAGTGCATTCGGATCAGCTCAACCTCAACAAACCTTGGAAGCCATTCACTATAAAATGCTTTTCTTTGAGGGACAAAGGTCTCAACCCTTTGTGTTTATTGTTATGGTCTTTGTACTGCTTTGCTATAACGTAAGCCATGGGGTTATCCTGTTTTAGCTAAAGGCTTTATTACTGTCAGTATCCATTTCTCCATAAAAGTTTGCCATTGCAGATTTATTTTAAAGGGTAAACAGCTACAAGTATCCATTGAACTCTCATTCTCTTGAGTCTTGCTATAACCCATATTTCTATCATCATAGATATCATGCCAATGTACTGATGGGAAATAGATTGTTTAATTATTGGATCGTTTATTCAATTAACCTTATATCACTGGTCAATCCTATAATTTTTTTTTTACCTACCTTATATTTCTGTCTGCATAATTATTTTGCAATTTCCCCTTTGTAGGCCTACATCAGTACAAAGCATGAAGGTGATAAAATTATTGCATTTGAGCGAGGAAATCTACTTTTCGTCTTCAATTTCCATCCTTACAAAAGCTTCACTGGATACAGAGTGGCTGTAAATTCACCTGGAAAATATCCTTTCATGAGTGTTGTCTTGCATGGTAGATGTTTACCTGGAAAAATTGAGTAGTTCTTGTTATTAGTGAGCTTAAAGCAGACCTTCATTAAGGAAAGGAACTACCCTTCCTCTGCTTCCTCCCCTCTTTTACATTTTCAATTTTTTTTATGTGAGCTGCCACATTCAGCCAAAAGAAAAGGAACTACACCTGTAATGAGGCACAACAACATTGCAAGGACTGCTTGTTTTTGCCCTGAGGTAGAGGAGTAAGGCGTTATACCTTACTCCTCACCACAGCAGGGTCCCTCCAGCGGTGCAACAGGTCCCATAAAGCTTCCCCTCGTTTGTGCTCCCAGCCACTGTTCTGCTCCCATCTCCTCCACGTACAGTGCACTGAACCCTGCACAGTACATTATGACAATGAGGTTTTGCCCACAGCCCAAAATGCTAGAGGCAGAACAGGACAGCACCATAGACAGCTGGATCAGGATGTAATGTAAGCAATTCAGCCTTTTCATCTACCCCTAAACATTTACTCCTTACAGTGTCAGAGGACTACCACTGCAAGGGCTTTTCTTTTCCAGCTTAAGTTTGTGCATTAAAATGTACATTTTTCCTTTTTTTGTATGATAAAAGCAAAAAAACTGTTGATCCTGTGAAAAATCAGTGCCTCACAGAGCATCACTCTGATCTATCCTGGAAGTGCTGCACAGAGATAAGGGAGAAGAACGGGGATTTAAAATCCCTGAACCACTGGACTGGCAGCTCAGCATACTTTGAGGTACGTACAGTGGGGAGGGTGTAAAGTGTTCACCTTTACATTTTTCTGTAAAGCTGAATTAACACTTTAAGTTTAAGTGGAAAACACTATGATCCTGTCTTATAATGTTATCACTATTTGTTCTATAAGCTTATGCGATTAGCTACCTAAAGGTGGTCTATACCACATATACATGTATAGTTCTCTAGTTTTCTTGGGTGGAACAATTCTGTACTACTTGTTGTTTTTTATTTTTTCAAGCTGGCAGTTTAGTGGGGAATAATGTGATGGGGCAGAATATAATTATTAATATTAGTATATTAGTATTATATTTATATTACTTCTGAAACTGCTGTGAACATAACCTTGCATGAGTGTCGGTTACAGGTTACAATTAATTATTTTTCTAAAATTGTGTACAAAACTTTTCTTTAACAAAACCACATCAAGTGTCCAAAACAAATCCCTACTCGTGTAAACTAAAAGTTCAACCAAGTCTCTTTATTTTCTTCTTTCAACGACAAATCTTTTTCTCAACACCCGCAAGTTCTGATGACAATATCCCTCAAAGGAAAAAAACTTAACATAGTGTCATACCTTTTTAAAAATTCAATACTCACGTGCCCCTTCCAGTGCAACATGCAATATTTGTGAACAAACAAACCCAAAAAAAAAAAAAAAAACTAATATATATATATATTTTCTCCCCTTATTCAGTGAAACACTCACAAAACGTGTACACTCTAAAATCTGTGTAGACAACTCAAAAAGATATCACTGCAAATGTGTAACACCACACTAAATATGCATCAGTGATCACTATTAGTGTGGTGTTACACATTTGCAGTGATATCTTTTTGAGTTGTCTACACAGATTTTAGAGTGTACACGTTTTGTGAGTGTTTCACTGAATAAGGGGAGAAAATTAAATATATATATATATATATATATATATATATATATTAGTTTTTTTGTTTTTGTTTTTTTTGGGTTTGTTTGTTCACAAATATTGCATGTTGCACTGGAAGGGGCACGTGTGTATTGAATTTTTAAAAAGGTATGACACTATGTTAAGTTTTTTTCTTTTGAGGGATATTGTCATTAGAACTTGCGGGTGTTGAGAAAAAGATTTGTCGTTGAAAGAAGAAAAAAATAAAGAGACTTGGTTGAACTTTTAGTTTACACGAGTAGGGATTTGTTTTGGACACTTGATGTGGTTTTGTTAAAGAAAAGTTTTGTACACAATTTTTGATTAACCTTCAAGGGTGGAGGTGGATTACTTTTCTGGGAATTTTTTGTGCTGTGTATTTGAAAATATAATTATTTTTCTAGTGATCATTTCTGGGATCCATGTATTCTGATCACAAGTAACAACCTATAAAAGCTGATATAAAACTGCATAAATATTGAAAAACAAATCGTATGGCTTGAAACATTATGAAAGTAGGATTTAAGGAGATCCTTTAGCAGTACTTCAGTTCTTCAGGCATGGCATACCAGGTAAAGCATGTTACTCATACATCCTCCCCTCTTCTGCTGCTTTGCCAACAAACTCCTCACTGATTTTGAGAAATTGTCGCCCAAAGTCTTCGTGGAAACCACCACTTCTGGGAGTATCGATATTCTGGTCCCCTGCAGCTCTAACAGGTTCCTCTTGCTGACATCCACAACTCATCAATATAGGAGACAGCTGTGACATAGAGATCATCAGGAGGAACCAGAGAGAGCTGTGGGGGACCAGGAGATTGATACTTCCTGGCGGCATAGGTCGCATGAAAGGTTAGTATGTACTTTCAATGGTATGTCTTGCCTCAAGAACATTATTTTAGTGACAAGGCTGCTTTAATATCAATTGTTTATTGGTAGGAGCAACGTCACCCACAAAGATGTTCATACAGTGCAGTCTGCAACAGCTGAAAGCCCTCAGGAGCTTGACTTGCAGTCCATAGGTATAAAATCTATAACAGAATGGTGCAAATGTAAGTTTTAGCATGGCTGCCTTGAACAAAAAAGAGAAATTGATCCTGGCTAATTACCTTATAAATCTAAACTAAATTGTTTGCTGGTACTGAATGTTAAGTTGTGGTATCTTAGGTCGTTCACCTTATGTCAGTGATTTTTATTACACTCCTTTATTTTCAATTTGGAATGTCTGCCTAGTTTCAGAAGTGGTCAGTTTGCCAGCTTGCATGTTATATGGTATTCTAACGCAAATCCAAAGTTTTTCTATGCATTTTAAAGTATCTAAATTAATGCATGGACAGAAAGCTACACTGACCAAGTATCCAGAACTTTAAACATGTTCTTCAGATATCACTGTCGCATATGCATTTAAAATGTAAATGCGCAATTCCTTGACATTTTTCAACTTGAGAATCAAACTTTTAATTAGGAAAAAGGTCATTTTAGAATGAGTACGCATTTGTGATTCCTGAGCGCGTGCATGTTGCTTTGTTGGTTAACTACAGGTCTCATTTAAAATATAATTATATAGCCGGTGCCCTGATGATCAGTGTACATGTCGCCTCCGCGGAAAGCCGATTACCGGCTCTTCTCTACATTGCATTTCCCTGTTTACATGTGATCAGCTGTGATTGGACACCGCTGATCACATGACCGAGCTGGCATCTTTGGCTCTTTCCGTGATCGGTGATCCGCTGTGTCCGAGGGACACAGCGCACCGCTGATCGCCACCCTGCGCGCTTCCTGAACGAGAGAGCCACCTTGCGCCCGTCATATTACTATATGGCGGGCGGGAGGTGGTTAACCACTTGCCTACCAGGCACTTATACCCCCTTCCTTACCAGGCCAATTTTCAGCTTTCAGCGCTGCCGCACTTTGACAATTGCGCGGTCATGCAACATTGTACCCATATGAAATTTTGATCATTTTTTTCTCACAAATAGAGCTTTCTTTTGGTGATATTTAATCGCCACTGGGCGCTTTACTTTTTGCGCTATAAATTAAAAAAAGTGCAAAAAATTTGAAAAAAAAAAAAAAGTTTATTTGTTTCTTTTATAAAATTTTTTTTTCAAACAGGTATTTTTTCTCCTTCACTGATTTGCGTTGATGAGGCGGCACTGATGGGCACTGATGGGCACTGATAGGCGGCACTAAAGGGCACTGATAGGCAGTACTAATGAGGTGGCACGGATAGGCGGCACTGATAGACAGCACTAATTAGGGGTCACGGATAGGCGGCACTGATATGCAGCACTGATAGGCGGCACTGATAGGTGACACTGATGATGGGTACTGATAGACGGCACTGACTGGCATCACTTCTGGGCACTGACTGGTGGCACTGACTGGCACAACCCCTGGGCACTGACTGGTGGCACTGACTGGCAGCACTGCTGGGCTGCACTGGTGGGTGGCACTGGTGGGCAGCACAGGTGGGTGGCACTGGTGGGCACAGGTGGGTGGCACTGGTGGGTGGGCACAGGTGGGTGGCACTGCTGGGCACATGTAGGTGGCACTTCTGGGCACAGGTAGGTGGCACTGCAGAGTGGCACAGGTGGGGGCACTGCTGGGCACAGGTGGGGGCACTGCTGGGCACAGGTGGGGGCACTGCTGGGAACGGGTGGGGCGGGGCTAGTGGGCGCACTGCTGGGCGGAACTTGCGGGTGTCACTGCTGGGCACCGATCATCAGGGCACTGATCATCAGTGCCCTGATGATCGGTGCCGATCCCCGCTCTGACAACTGCCGGTTCTCGGCAGTACTTTCCTCACGATCTGACAGCGTGAGGAAAGTGCAGCCGAGAACCGGCACTTGCATTTCCCTGTGATCAGCGTGTCATTGGACACCGCTGATCACGTGGTAAAAGGCCGGTGGGATCGGCCTTTCACCACATCACGTGATCAGCTGTGTCCGTAGGACACAGCGATCACGGAGATCGCCGGGTGCGCGCCCCCTGGGGCGCGCAGGAGAGCGCGTTCTGGGAGGACGTCATATGACGTCCACTCAGAACTGGCCGGCCGCGGTGAAGCCGTCATTCGGCTATGCGCGGTCGGCAAGAAGTTAAAGAAATTATCATTTTTTCCCTTGTTAATATCAATGTTTTCTATTTCCACCAAAGATGCAATGATCTAACATTAGCTTACTGAGGATACCTAAAGGGGTTTTCCAATTTAAGCCATACAGTTGGAGCATTCATAGCAATGAGCTTCGAAGACTGGCATCATAACGCAATGAAAAGGCTGAATTGCTTCAAGCAGCCCCTTAGCTGTTTTTCAGTGCCATATATCAACTG